ACCCTCATTATATCACTGGGTGTGATGGAGAACACGACTAGAAATTATAAAAAGTTTCCATTTCTATACTGATGAACTCATTTTGATAGTATACTTATATATCTATAGACTTTACCGTTTAACGTTTTGAATCATAATATGTAATCAGTACTTATATCAATACTCGCACTACCATTCTCGTAACGTATTGAAAAGCAGCATTTTCATTTATAAACATATCATTATATGCGAATAATGGAGATTAACATATGTTTTAATTGTTGATGAATTATTGTAGAATGGAAATGCGCGCAGTATACCTATTTATTTGAACGGTTTCACCATCTCAAAATTTTCATGAAAAATAATATACAGGCTATCCCGAAACTGCTGCAACACAGAGCTACCACGTGTGATTTGACCCAATTTATTTATATAAAAAATGTACCGTTTGTCCGTGCAACGACATTTTTGTACGAAGTTCAAAAAAATGAGTGGAACAAATCAGTAATCAACGAAACCCGAAAGGAGTTGTAGAAGGGTTTAAACCACCCTTATATACCCCAGTAGCACGAATCTTGGCTGGATATTGCTTCTATATTGGCCCGATATCGGCAATATTGGGCGAATATAGGGCCAATGCCCAGCCAAGATTGTGTGCTACTGGGGTACCCCCTGACATTTTTTTAAAACATTCTTAGGGGTGATAATGGTGGGTCCAGGGCATGAAGGAATAAAAAAAAATAAGGCAACTGATCGTCGCGCAAAGAGAGGTGCAGCATCTGCAATCTTTGGTCCAGAGCCTTTTTGTGGGATATGCAAATGTCACCTAGAGGGAGAACCCAGGAAATGGAAAGAAATGGAAAAGTCCTCCTACTGGAGAGTAACTCCAGGTCAACGACAAGCGAAAAGGTTCATCAACCATTCGCATAACCGAGCCAAAGAGATACTCAACCTCAGCAAAAGCTTATCACAGGCCTTCTCACAGGACATTGTCCTCTGAGGTACCACCTCAAAAAGATGGGCCTGGCGAAGACTGACACTTGCCGCTTTTGCAACAATGCGACCGAAACACATACTTTGCTAATGTAAAGTATTAGTCCGCCAAAGGCTGAATCACCTGCTGAGGTGGAATATTCGACCGTCAGGAGAATTCTAGGCTTCATCTTCATCAGAAGTCTAGGGTTAGAGGACCAAAACTAGATAAGGGTAATCACAATAGATCTTCTAGGTAGCAGTGATCGAGAGGTCTTCCAGCCTACACGACCCATCTACAATCTACAATCTAGGGGTGGTAATAGGGTTCTCAAATTCTTTAAGCAAAATGACTGATTAATTATCTCCATTTTGTGACTGTTGTGAAAATTTCATATTCCGTATAGTTCCGTAGAAAAAAAAAATGTTGAAAGACATTTCTACATTGAAACAAAGGAATTGACATTTGTATCGATGAAGGCGAGGCCATATTGAACATTAATTGAAGAAAAAAGTTCTGTCTCTGTTTCCATTGTCAACTGAATTTTTTATTATAACGATTTTACACTTTTACTAGGAATATCTGTTAGCATCATTCAAGAAAAAATTGTTTGTTTTCGGAACTATGCGGAATACGAAATTTTCACAGGAGTAACAAAATGAAGATGAAAAATCAGTTATCTCGCTCAAAAAATATGAGAACCCTATTACCACCCACCCCTAAGAATGTTTTGAGAAAAAATGTCCGGTAGTGAGAGTGGTTTCAACCCTTCCTCAATTTCTTTTGGATTTCTTTGATTGCCGAAAGGAGGGTAAATCTCTAGAATGCACTTCTTAAAAATTTCATCCAATTTGTTTGACCCATTTTTGAACAGCGTACAAAGAAGTGTCTATATCTATTGAAACTTCGAACACGTCCCACGGACAAACGGTACATTTTGTTATATAAATAAATTGGGTCCCAGCAATGTTGGGACACCCTGTCTGTAGAATAGGTCTCGGAATAGGTAATATATTATTATTTCGGATGATAATTCACAATAATTAGCTTTCTAAAACTTTGAAAACAAAAAGTCCCGAGGTTTATATTCGGTTATAATTGCACGAGTGCATAAAAATTACTGATAATTTTGCAAGTTTAATTTCATATTTTGGCGAAAGAGCCGAAGGAGGATGGCTCGTTTACAAAATCAAAATAAGAAAATAACCGCATGCAATTTGTATACGATAACACGCTTGAATGCAAAATTATCTGGTCATTTTTATGCACGAATATAATTCATTAGAATATTTCGCGAGTAAATGAATTCTCGAAGAAATGTTTTTTGCTCGTTTTTTATATGGAGTAGGTACTCACCATATTTTTTTTCACTTCTTCCAGTCTATTTTACTGGCGTCTAGCGACACGGTTTAGATATTTTCGCAGTGCAATTGCCGCTGTAATTTTTCGATAATTGCATTGGTTTCACAAGACATTCAATATATGAGGGAAATATTCCATTTGATGCACTTTAGGGGTTGAAAAACTAAGAATGAGATAATCATGAAAATAATGAAATAATTTCAGCTTTCCTGTCTGGTTGGTAGTTTTTTTGTTTTCATATTGTTGTTGATATCAAATAGTGATGTGCCTTGAAAGCGCGTTGCTATGTGGCGATTCAGAAAAAATACCAGTATTTACTTTTTTTAGAAGGTAAAACAAAATTGCGAAATTTTTCAATTGTTATACGATCGCCACGAAATTTTTATGAATCTTTATTTTTCAAGGCAAATTCAGATCATACAATTTTACAACAATCTTGCTTGGTTTTGGTCTGTTTTCCCAGTTGAAATATGAATGAATATAAATAAATTAATAAAATTTCAACCCATAAATAATGCTATTGTATGTTAAATGTTCGAAAAATGATTAAAGAATACAGGGTGTTTAATTTGCAATCCGAAAGCTGAGCTCATCATCCAAAAAAAACTTGAAGCCTTGGTAGATCTGAATTACAATTTAATTCATAATAAAAAACCCATAGGCCGCTATTATTTTGTAATTTTGACAGCGAAAAAAGTTAGACCTAACTTTTTCAGCGATAAATCAACTCATACACGGGAATATAGTTATTTTTTAATCTAGAGCGCAAAATGCTACTTTGGTAATCGAGATCTGTGGGAATATCGCGATTTGGAAAGTATACGAGTGGAGTTATTGAAAAAACCATCAACAATAATGTGATTCACTTATTCATTAAATAGTCTTACCGAATTTCTTGGTTTTGGTGCCTCTAGGAAATCTAACTCAAAAAACTGCTAAAAAAAATTACCCTTCCTACGAACTTTCTAGGCCACAAAATTCTCATCGAAATGTCAATAACTTCGACAAAAAAAAGTCTTACGTAATTAAATAATAAAAAAAATTAGACCATCTTTATACCTATACGAAAATAGATCTAAATTATTATCAAAACTTGAGATTTTTATTTTGAACCACGAAATTTTGAATATTTGCTTGAGAAAGAAAAAAAAGTTGAACTGAGTAAAATATTGTAGATTGTGAAAGCAACAATCTCAAACAATCCCGAATATTTCCACAATTGCTCGAATATAAATATAATAATCTTTATTATTCCCAAGAAACATAAAATATATGTTTATAGCAGGGAAAATTATGAAAAAAGAGCAACTTAAAAAAAAAAAAAAATTAGATAACCAGATAATCATTTTTAAATCATATACATAGTACATAATTACATATAATGTTGTTTCTTCTAGGAATCTAGAGACTGTTGAATATAAGTTCTTGAATTGATTCAGGATGATATAAGAGAATCAAAGACAAGTATTTTTTCAGTTCTTTTTCGAATTTCTCAACACTCAATTTTTTCTTCAGTCTGGCAGGTAATTCATTATAGAGAATTGTTCCATTGTATAAAATAGATCTTTTACCCATATCTGATTTAATTTTGATGAGAGTTAACATATCTTTTTGTCTGCTTATGTGTTCGTGTTTATGACTATTGACTTCAAAATTCAGATTCGAATGTTTATAATAATTATATTTGACGGAATCGATGAAATTCAATATTTTGAATTTGTAAATAGATGTCTTGTTGGTTCCAAGTAATCTTGTTTGTATATACATTTAATAACTTTGTTTTGAAAGATTTTGATTGGCTTTATAATTAATACTCTAGCTGTACCCCAAACTGAAATCAAGTATTGTTATTTTGAAAAACATAACATCAAAATTCTGTTAGGTTTGAGTCAAGCATTTAGGAACGAAATTCATTTAAATTTATTTTTTCAGTACTGAAAAGATCAGTTTAAATGAATTTCGTTTCTAAATGCTTGACGATATATTAACTTTGCATCAAACATAACAGAATTTGGAAGCGGGTATTATCATTTTCTGAAGAAACTCATATTTCTGTCCATAATCAGTGATAATAAGTAATTGAAAGTGAGTAGCATGAAAAAGCTACTGGTATGAAGTAGTTTAGTGGAATTGACAATTCTTCAAATATTATAGAAATTTCGAAAAATTTAAAAAAAAAACAAAATCTAAAAATGCAATAGAAAGATCAGATTCGAGAAGCATATTATGTAAAATTGCGATAAAAACAACTTTTTCAAGTAAACTTTTTTGATATTCGAACAAATAAGCCTAATTTCAGCGATTAATTTGAATAAAATGTCACTTTTGACATGTAGCGAAAGTCACGTGACCCCGATTGAGTATGCCATTTTCCATCTTTTTTGAAGCAAAACTTAACGTCCAACTCGAATTCCAAAATAAGTCATTAATAAAAGTATTTCCCATATGATGCCGACTTTATGAATGACACTGTATATATATTCAAAATAGCACCATAGGTACCCTATTTGCGTATCAATTGAACAAATTTATAAAACAAAAACGCGTTTTCAACATTATTTCAACCTACGGTGAAAAAACAACGCACCACTGTATATATCTCAGGGATGAAAAACGCCCGCGAAAACTTTGATTTTTTTCGAATCCAGGCCAGCGAGTACTGCCCACGGTACTGCCTACTTACACTTCGTACCGAAAACTGCACTCGATTCGCGTCTCCCTGGCGAACGATTCAGGTGGTACCCGCTGATGGCTAGACGGTACTCTCACCTTCGGTACCAGCGCGCAGACTGAGTACCGACAAGTGCTACACCGCTGATAGGTAGGTACCCCATTAAGTTCGGCAAGGCGACCGACGATTTACTAATGCCCCTTAGGCGCTGGTACTTCCCAGACATTATAGTAGGAGAGCCGACTGCAGATTTCTACCGTCATCTGATAACGAAATGATACTAGCTGACCCGGCAGCGATTTTACTAAATATAAACTATTGCAGCACAAGACACGCCCCCTACTACGGCATTGCAAAATATAATCGAGCCCAGCACAATCCTGCAAAATCTAATCTTTGACAGCACAACGTAGCTGATTCATATAAATAAATCGATTGAAAAAGTAGCACATACCACGTTATATCTCATCTTCAAAGTACTTTACTTAGGCAAAACTCAGAGACTATTTATCCTCAACGAACTAACCTATCCCTGATTGCAATATTTTTGAGGAAGGAAAACCGAATGGAGTGTAGAAACACATTGATTAATAATATATTTCAAAAGTTGAGTTCTTCAACAAAATTGAATAAAATGAGACTGTTTATCCTAAACGCACTAACCTATTTGACTTCAAATATTTTATGAAAAAGGAAAACCAGAATGAAGTAAAAAAACATTGGTGAAAAAAAAAAGTTGCAAAAAAAAGTTCGAGTTCACATCGATTCGAACCATGAACCTTCAGACTGAGAGTCGACAGCGCTAACCAGTAGACCATTTGGGTGTATGAATTTACTGCGTACAAGAGATTGACAACGAGAAAGCTTCAGTTCTTGCGTTGGAGCACAGTATGAGATAATATCATATTATGACGTATTATGGTGGGCGTGTCTTGTGCTGCAATAGTTTATATTTAGTAAAATCGCGACCCGGCAAACGTTGTTTTGCCATAAACACTTTTTCGCTTGGAGAGCACGAAAGGGAATCCCTATAATGTTCAAAGAACACCGTGCGTTCCTAGGGAGGATAGGGATAGGAGGTAGGTCTTGGAATTTTTTTTGAACTTCTGGAGATTATATGTTGTTGGGAATACTTCCTCAGGCAATGAATTCCAGAGCCTAGCCGTTCTATGGATGAAGGAGTTTTGATAAAGTGCTGTTCGACATCTTTCGAGGTTGACAACGAAAGGATGTGTTGACTGATGGGCTTGTCTAGTTCGTCTGATTGGTATTGCTAGTGAAGGGATGATAGCAGAGATTTCCGAAGCACATTTCCCGTGGAAGTATCGATAGAAAAGTGAAAGGTCGCCGACTTTTCTACGATGTTCCAATGATGTTAAAGAGTGAGTGAGTGTGGCATCACCCACCAGGCGGATGGCTCTTCTCTGGATGGAATCTAAGAGCATCAGCGTATGTTTTTGTGCTGAACCCCATATGTGGGAACAGTATTCTAGAACAGGCCGTATCTGCGCTTTGTAGATCATGAGAAGCTGTTGAGGTGTAAAGTAGCTTTTCGCACGGAACAAGAATCCGAGTTTTTGTGAAGCAGCTTTTGCGATGGATCTGACATGATTATCCCATGAAAGAGTGTTGCTGATGGAAATACCGACATAGATATGGTGGGCTTGGTGGAGATGGTGGTGCCAGACATTACAATGTCGGGCATACTGAGTTCCGCCTTTCTAGAGAAAATACAGGCTTGAGTTTTGGTGGCGTTGAATTCAACTAGGTTTTTGGTTCCCCAGGCTGTGATTTCAGCAAGGTCTTCATTGACAGCATTGACCTGCCTGCGCCGTGAGTTCTTAGTTTCCTAGGAAGAAATGGGAATTCTGGATGAGAACGCAGTATGGAGGGTACTATCATCTGCAAAGCTGTGGATGGGGCAAGTTGTTACTCCCAACAGATCATTGATATGAAGCAGGAATAATGTTGGTACCAACATTGATCCTTGTGGAACGCCGGAATTGATGCCATGAACATATTTTTTTTAGTCAAATATTCATCAACAATCTTCTGTTATTTGTATTTTCTACTTTTTTTAGTTTGGCTATCCATAAAAGTGTGTTTCATTAGATTTTCAAACTACTATTTATTGCAATAGCTGACCCGGCAAACGTTGATTTGCTATATACATTTATTTCTAGAAAATATTTTCTCAGTTAAATATTTCTCAACACATTTCTATTACTTTGTTTTCTACTTTTTTCCAGTTTGACTATCCATAAAATCGCGTTCCTTTAGTTTTTCAAACTACTATTTATTTTCTACTTCTTTTTAGTTCTATCATAACATTCTATCTCTTCAGTTTTTCAAACTATACTATCAATTTTCTACTTCTTTTCAGTTTGGCCTCGAGTTTGGCTATCTATTGAAGCGTGTTTCATTATAGTTTTTCAAGCTGATATTTATCACGAAACTAGTTAGCCATATTGGAGCCATCTGGAATTACCCAATTTTGAAGAAAAAGATCATAATCACCGACCTCGAAAACCCCCAGATACCAATTTTAAATGAAATCTGACCATAATTACAAAACTTGTCCGCCATATTGGATCCGCCATCTTGAATTTCCAAAATTTGACGAAAGAATCATAATCTCCGACCCCGAAAAACCCCAAAATACCAATTTTGAATGAAATCGGATAACAATACTCGTCCGCCATATTGGATCCGCCATCTTGAATTTTTGATTTAAAAAATAGGTTACGTCCGATTCTCATACCTACCGAATACGCACAAAAAATTTCATACGAATCGGTCGAGCCGTTTCGGAGGAGTTCGACCACTAACACCGTGACCGGGACAGGAGAATTTTATACATTAGATATGTCCCAAAGGAATGTAGAAACATTGTAGTTCATCGAACGGCACCTGAGCCAATCTTGAGCAAAATTATTAAAAAAATAGCACTTTCCTGTGCGGAAATTTGCACTCGATTTCGCGATTTGATAACGAGATAACGCTTATGCTATCCGATACCAATTTAACCCTTAACTACTAATCATACGTCTCAGAGACGGCATGTCAGCATCCGGTTTGTTGGATTACATAGATTGCCGTCTCGTAGACGGATAGTTAGTAATTCCGTTACAATAAGTTCAATTTCGCCTATAATACGAATGATTGCGTCTATATATCATTATTTTTCAATTTGCATGTTTATGACTTAGTTCTGTGCCATATTTTATTACGACTCTAACTGTATTCAGAATGACAATGATATTATCGATAATTTTAGTATTTCAATTTTATTTCAGTATTTCTATAAATTAATGTCAAAATTTTGAACATTATAGGTACTCCTCTATAAAATTTTGATCGCCACTGGAATTTGTATTCCTATTTCAAATTTGAACATCATTTTCTCTTCGCCAAATATGTAGAGATAGTTATTTACACTACAAGGGAGGCAAGTGATACTTACCAGTCGAGGACATTGTTTGCGCCCGAGCGATAGCGAGGGCTTGCAAAATAGTCCGAGACTGGTCAAGAACACTGCCTCCCGAGTTTTGTATTATATTTTTTCTACTCCAGTTCCCTTAGATTAAAAAAAATGTTTTTCTACTCCTTACTCGGTAAGTACTTCATTTTGATACTGATTTGAGGGAGGAAAACACGTTCTACCTCCCTAGGGAGGTAAATATTTACTTACCTCCCTAGGGAGGTAGAACGTGTTTTCCTCCCTCAAATCAGTATCAAAATGAAGTACTTACCGAGTAAGGAGTAGAAAATAGTTATTTACACTACAAGGGAGGCAAGTGATACTTACCAGTCGAGGACATTGTTTGCGCCCGAGCGATAGCGAGGGCTTGCAAAATAGTCCGAGACTGGTCAAGAACACTGCCTCCCGAGTTTTGTATTATATTTTTTCTACTCCAGTTCCCTTAGATTAAAAAAAATATTTTTCAATTACTTATATAATTTGACTAATCTAACTGAAAAACCCTGTATGTATGACAAGTTTCCTAGTGTTACACGTTGATCGCTATGGAATTCATATTGTTTATAATCAAACAAATGTTCTGTCAGTGTCATTTTATTAAAAAAATCGAAATAATGGATATCGATGCAGTTGCGAATGCAGCTTGTGCTGCTCTATTACCTCAGAAATCGAAGGAACGGTACAATCGGTGTTACAAGGACTTCAAGGCTTGGTGCAGTAATATTGCAAGTGGTGAAAGCATTACCGAGAACTCTTTGCTGGCGTACTTTGTAGAGAAGTCACAGACCCTAAAGTCCCCTGCAAGTTTATGGAGTGAGTATTCGATGCTAAAATCGACGATTGCTGGAGCATGCCGCTCACAAGAATTATGCGATCTGAGTGTAGAGAATGTCCAGGAAATGGAAAATTTAATTATAATCAATATACCTGATTCAAAAAATGGTACATCTAGAAGATTCACCATCACTGCAGACAAAGACAGTAAAATCTGCCATTTAAACATTTTTAAAAGATATCTCAAAATAAGATCGTTGGTTGAAAGACCCCAACAACGCTTTTTTTTGAGATACCAAGAAGGCAAATGCTTGAATCAGCCTGTGGGAAAGAACACTTTTTCAGCTATTCCCACAAAAATAGCAAAATTTCTCAGACTGCCTAACGCTGAAGCTTATACCGGCCATTCGTTTAGAAGAACGTCTGCCACATTATTAGCTAACACTGGTTCAAGTGTTTTAGCTCTTAAAAGACATGGGGGCTGGAAGTCGGGGACGGTTGCTGAAGGTTATGTTGCTGATAGTCTTTGCAATAAGAACGAGGTGGCAAACAAAATTCTTTATAACAAGAATAACAGCGATTCAAATTCATCTGCTATTCATCTGCCTACCACATTGACCAGCGCTGTAACAAGAATTTCTGATAACATAAGCACAACAGTAGAAGTGTCCAAACAGCTGCAAGAGGTTTCCCCACATTTTTCAAACTGTAATTTTTCAAATTGTACTATAAATGTTAATTTAAAATAAAGAGTTCAATTTTTAGGTTAAATTATGAAGTTTATTTAACTTGCTTCCCTAGGCAGGTAAATATTTACTTACCTCCCTAGGGAGGTAGAACGTGTTTTCCTCCCTCAAATCAGTATCAAAATGAAGTACTTACCGAGTAAGGAGTAGAAAAATGTATTTGAATAGCTAACAAAAATGGAATAAAAAAAATTGGGTTTATATGGACATTTGAATAGTCCCGTATGTGAGATGTAATGTTAGTGACAACGTTATACAGGGTAATTCACGGTCGATGGTACGTTAGACGTTTATGGAGAACGGGACATAGGAGCATTCTGAAATTTTGGTTACTCACGTAGTTGCTCTTGGTCTATCGATCTAAAATATTTTCAGCTCTGCGGCGTTGCCGCTTCTATCGAAAAGTAGCAACAACTTTGTTATTTTAAATGTAACACCCTGTATTTTATTGCATTTTCAGAGTCTCTCTGAAGAGCTAATTTCATCGATGTATCACACTTAGGGTCTAGCGGAAATGATTACAGAGATATAGGGTGTGAAAAATCGACATTTTTCAACTTTAGGAATTTTTTTTGTCGAAACTATTCATTATTGGTCAAAACGGCTTACATGCCCCTATCTCAACTTTTGATTACCTATCTACTGATATTTAATTGGGACATATACCGGGTGATCAAGATTCTGAATTCTGCACCACCCTGTCCGAATAAAGCAAGTACTTTTCGTTCTCAGATACTATCTTTTCGTCCGCAAACACTTTTCGTTCGCTGCAGGATTGCCAGTTGAACTGAATTTTTAGTAGATCTCCTGATTTGCATATTGATCTGCCGATATACTGAAACATTTTATAATCTATTGAAAAATATTCTGACAATTATTTATTATTATAATTACCTATATTATTATCAATCTTCAGTTAATCATATACACTTATAAATTGCATGATATTTCGGCACGCTCTGTTCAAATTGATTTTACAAAATGAGTAATGAATGCACATATGCAAAGTGGGCCAAAAGAAGTCATCCGATGTTGTTCGGCTCTCATTTTTTTTTCTAAATGAAGAACTTCGATTCTGTTGTTTGATTTATGTTTATAATTAACTTTGAATTGTATTTCTGAAATTTGATCTTAAAAATAAAATCTATTTCTCTATTGTCATATTAAAACGATATTGCTATAATCATGTAGTGAAAAGCTTTTTATTTTCTTAAGCGAAATGATTGGGAATTCCAGAAATGATTTCAATTTCGAGATTAGATTAATCATTGGCGTACCATCAATGTCTGCCAAAATATAGGTATGTGAAATTCTATACGAACGCCACTGGTGGCAACCAAAAAAATGTGGTCCACTAACTGATGCCTCTTGATACATAGTACATGTATGCCAAATTTCATTAGAGTATCTGAAGTGGTATTACAGATATTAATAAAAAACTATTAGTTTTTGAGAACTTTAGCACCCTGTATTTCAAAAGTTAGGTCGTTTAGGTCATACCTTCATGTGAAACTGTCTTCTCAGAATGGGCCCAAGAATCGCCTCCCCAAATATTGACATCAAATTATGAAACACCCTGTATAACTATTTCCAAGATAAACACATGTTTAGAATAAATTACAGTCAGAGTCAAAAATTGGCTTTTATTAGTTTTTCCTTAAAAGAAATCTCCTATATGTACTCACGGGGTTTCTGAAATATGTTTTTTTTTTTCAATTATGCCATTTTGTTCAAGATTCCACCCTGTTGACATTTTCTGTATAAAGTTTTCCCATTATATTGAAAAAACTCTTCCAAAATGGCATCCGACCGCCATTTTGAAAACTACATATTTTGTTTTGGGATAAAAATGTTCACGTTCGCAAGTTAACTAGGTAGGTGCGGGGGTCACTTATGGAATGGACAGTGTATGTTAAATCAACTTCGTATTCGTATTTGATCACATAATCTCTGTTTTGTAATGTATCGAGACAGATGGTCAAGTAGGTAGGTCTCTAAGACCTAATTCGTGAAGGTCATTACCGTTCGAATGATTTTTAAAATGAATGATTGCTTTTTACGAGCACATCATAAATCCCATAAAAATAAATAGGTATAGGTGTACAGGGTGTTTCTCAAGTACGTGTAAAAAATTCAGGAGCATGTTGCTGACGTCAAAATAAGAAGAAAAGTTCGTATAAACATATGTCCGAAAGTTATTCGTTTCTGAGATACAGAGTGTCAAAGTTGAATTCTTATTTTTGTTTTTTGTTAATAAATTCCAAAATAATTGTGATATTTGAATGAAGTTTGGTATCTAGGGGTATTTTTCAATGACAATATCAAATTTCATGTTAGTTTGTCTCTTTCGTGGGGGTGGCGCCACCTACATGTCTTTTGAGTCTTTTGAAAAGTCATAACACTTTTGTGTAAAAAATATATTCTTGTTAGAGGTCGATGCGAGCAAATTTTTTCGAGTTATTGATGGGATTAGAAATATAATGGATGCATTTGAATTGTTTCCGCCCCTAAGTAGTAAATATCAGTGTGTATAATCTCTGATATCAGAAAAGATTCGCCAGTGCATTTTTCTTCTTTTATTCAATATTCTCCTAAATTCAACAATTCCACATTGGAATGTAGGAAAATGATGATTCTTACTTCTTTGTATCTACTTTTTCTGCCACTTTGAACAATTACTTTAATCAATTCCCTCAACTAACAGTTTTAGTATTAATTTGGTCTCAATTACTGTTATTATTATTAGTATTGAATTGTAATAACACCCGATTCCTATTTCAAAATGAAATTAGGAAAATTAATTTTCTCAAGTTGATAAATCAATTTTGATTGGAGCGCACGAAAGGAAATCCCTATAATGTTCAAAGAACATCGTGCGTTCCTAGGGAGGATAGGGACAGGAGGTAGGTATTGGAATTTTTTTTAACTTCTGGAGATTGTATGTTGTTGGGAATACTTCCTCAGGCAATGAATTCCAGAGCCTAGCCGTTCTATGGATGAAGGAGTTTTGATAAAGTGCTGTTCGACATCTTTCGAGGTTGACAACGAAAGGATGTGCTGACTGGGCTTGTCTAGTTCGTCTGACTGGTATTGCTAGTGAAGGGATGATAGCAGAGATTTCCGTGGAAGTATCGATAGAAAAGTGAAAGGTCGCCGACCTTTCTACGGTGTTCCAATGATGTCAAAGAGTGAGTGAGTGTGGCGTCACCCACCAGGCGAATGGCTCTTCTCTGGGTGGAATATAAGAGCATCAGCGTATGTTTTGGTGCTGAACCCCATATGTGGGAACAGTATTCTAGAACAGGCCGTACCTGCGCTTTGTAGATCATGAGAAGCTGTTGAGGTGTAAAATAGATTTTCGCACGGAACGAGAATTCGAGTTTTTATGAAGCAGCTTTTGCGATGGATCTGACATGATTATTTCAAATCCCAATAACTCGAAAACAGTTGCTTGCAGCGACCTTTACCAAGAATATATTTTTCACACAAAAATGTTCTAGAAATCTATTTTTCTACTATAAAACGTGATACAGGTACGCAGAAAATAGTTATGATTTTTCAAAAGGCTCAAAAGACACATAGGTGGCGCCACCCCCACGAAAGAAAATTTGAT